GGGGCAATATGCTGACTCTCTGTAAACCGCTTAGAGAGGGCTGAAAGCCCTATGAAGCGGTATATAAGTCTAACTGCTATTGCTATTGCTATTACTAGATTGGGAAACTGAGATCACCCATCAAATGTTGAAGATACATGTATTAACAAATTGTTTCCTAAACCAAACATTGTTTTTCTTTTTTTCCAGATGTAAGTTCTGGAAGTTCAATGGATTGGGCCTATAAAACTGGAATCCACTATTCATTTGCCTTTGAATTGCGTGATACAGGTCATTTTGGATTTTTATTGCCTGAGAACCTAATCAAGCCAACCTGTATAGAGACCATGCTGGCTGTTAAAAATATAACCATGCACCTCCTTAAAAAGTGTCATTTAAGCGTTGCAGCCAAGTTTTAATTTTTTAATTGTTCTTAAGAATACAGCGTGAAGTCACTCAAATATAGAATATAGCATTTTCCACTAGTGGAACCCATTGAAAAAAAAATGATATTTTCTACATATAAGAGATATTCAAATGTTTGATACATATACTAGGCCATACATATGTGGTATCAGGACATATGAAGGCAGAAATCCTTGAGTGTATCTAAATGATTATTGATGAAATTATGAAAGGTGGAAATGAGAAAAAGTAAAAAGAAAAAGAAGCACCAAGACTTTATTCAAATTCATGTCTAGCAAGAAAAAGGATAAATCATGTGAAATCTTTGTTCTAATAAATTATCTGCCTAATTTATACATGAATTTATATATGAATCTCAGCTTGGCTCAAAGAAGAATCATAATTTGCTCAAAATGTTGAATTTTGAACCACTGAAAGTTAGTCATAGCTCTGATATCTATAACCTAAGCTAAACCTTTTGCAATAATAAAGCTATTTTACTGTTAGGATCATATGTTTATTAACATTGGAATAAAATACATCATGCAGCAAAAAACATTGGCAAGACCTGTGTATTAACTTCCTGGGAGGAATATGCCGAGAATAGAGGATACAGTATATTCCTCTATGAATGTCACCAAAGACCAAATTCCAAAATTAACTTTAAGATTGGAAACATCCAGATGGAATAATGTTCTATCATATCTACTGCATTCATTATATTTTTTCATGTTCCAATTGTAGAGGAATAATAGCATTTATTTTTACTATTGTGCTTTAAACTCCAGGGAACCTATTTTATTTAAATTATATTTTAGAACTCTCCTTCATAGCTAGAGATTGAATAACCTTTATTGCTATCACCTTGGAAATGTCAGTATGGTCAATTTATTCAGTGTAGAAAATGGATAGTGTAAGATGTAATCAAAGGGTCAACTCACCCAATAAGTATTGCATTTCCCCAGGCACAGTGAAATGGAAAATAAGTAAATAACAGCCAAAGCAGAGAAGGCAATTTCAACCTCTGAAACCAGGACAGAAACAGCTATTATATAAGTATATGGATAAGAATCAATTGGTTTCGCAGATCACATGTACTGAAAAAGTGTAAACTTTTAGTCATTTGCAGCATGTCACTGCGTAGCTGCAAAAATCGTAACCATTCCCCCTGCAAAATACCAAGTGATGAAGAAAGTAAGGCATCCTTGTCAGTCTGACTGCATCTTTCTTCTGGTATGCCCTTTTAGAAATTATATATATATATTTCTACTATGGTGAACTATTGTTAGCTGTGCCAATTTAATCCTGGATTAGAAAAAATGTACTATATATATATACATACATACATACATATATATATTACATATATATATAAATGTGTGTGTTTGTGTGTGTGGTGTGTGTGTGTGTGTAAATACATTAAACTTGGTTAATATTAACTGTGATTAGATTTTGTGTTTCAGCTGTTGTTTGAATTCCTGGTTAGTTTATGGTTCTATCTAATGGACAAACTGGAAAATAAATCAGATAGATTAACCGTGTTATATGAATACAACCAAAAGCTATCTACATAATACTAAATCTCCAGTTCCCATAAATTTTAACTGTCAAAATGGTGCATCATATGGCAACAATGTTTGAACCAAGGAACGTCAAATGGACTAACTTACAAAATTTGTCCAAAATCTGCAATCCAAGGCAAATTTTATTAATTTTTTGATTATAAAATGACTTAATATAAAATGTCATAAAACATATCCTGTGCTGATGAGCTATTTTTTAAGGCAGATAAATCATTGACTGTATCCCAACTTTTCGTGAAGGCAGTTGAACGTCAATTGATAAATTAACATTTGGAAGACAGGTTTTACCAATAAACATAATCATATTTATTTATGAGCAATATGAGATGAAGATAATTTCCAAAAGGTAAGAAAGCTGGTTAAATATATCATTTCTTAATTAGTTCATCTTTAAAAGTATTTATACTTTCTTTCTTTCCATTTAACTACCCTCAGAGAATAGTCTTATTCTATAGCTATTGCAAGCAACTTAATTTATGAATTTTATAATGATTTTTTAAAAAAGTGTTTAATACGGTGTGCTCTGCATATATGTTCCAATAGCACACAATCAATTAGCTAATAACATGCATGTGCAAATGAACTGACATAGTTTATTCAAAGATCAGCAAAATGTAAAAAATATACCAAACAACAAGCTCAAATTAATAAGATAAAATAGAAGAGATTTCTACACTAAAAATGCAACTTACATTATAATAGTGAGTTGGTTACCAGTGCAAATGTATATCTAAAATATTATAATCTAGGAGGCAAGTAAATAGCTAATATGTATTAAACTTGAAGTGGTTAAAACAAAACTTTTTATGTGACCAGTTATGCCTTATTTTTATTGTGGCAACATAGAATTTGGCTTCAGTGCAAGTTTTAACGTGCTCTGAATCTGCTAGAAGATTCACATAAAAATTGCCTAGCCTTTCTGAGAATCTCCATATTAGCAGCAAAATATAGCATCCCTGTAGAATTTACAATATAATAAAGTGAGAAATGAATTCAATCACATGGGCATGTTTGGTTAATGGGGTTTCACGGTATTTGGTAAGATGTGTTTGGCTTTAAAATATGCTATCTTCCATTTAGGGAAAGTTAGATTTCATAAATATCTTGCTATATCCCAAGAGTTCTTTTTATTCAATTTCTGCCATGTTGTGGCAGCCTATTAACTTCAGTTTGAAACTTCATATCTTTTTCTTTTTTGCGAGTTGCTTGGTTTGATCATACTGTAAATAAATTAGGAATGGTACAAAAAAATCCATATAATGTCAGCTTCTGCTCTATAGTCTGTTTCCAAGGGAAGAGGAAAACTTAATATTAGAAAAGCCTGGCTGGACATTCAGCCAGAGGTTTGGATTAATCTCAAAAAATTTCTGCACACTGATTCATGTTGAATAACCATATCCTGCAACTACATCAATGATAGTTGATAATCTTATCAGAAGCAATAGGTACCAATGCAATGTAGGGGAAGTCAAAGTAATTTCTTTATATATAATATACATATAGCACAGACAAAAGCAGTTATATCATCTATCCCGATACTGCCCACTTCAAATGACATAAGCTTTTCCTTGTTTCAGGCAAAGAATAGTTCTCATTATCATCCAGCAGGTGTTTAAACTAAAACTGAACTAAGGAGGCATTGTACTGAAAATATGTTTCCTACTTCAGATATCAGTTCTAAGCTAGAGCAAATGTTAGAAAACATTTTTTTAAATCCCATCATATTCCATGTCCATCCTGCCTTATGAATAACTTTAGAATAAGAATCTATTCAAGTTTTCAAAGGATAAATAGGATTGAACAAGAAAAGCTGATCGTTGCAAAATTGTTACCTTTCCCAAACTTGTTGTTTCCCAAACAATTCCCAAACTTTTTCTTCTAGGTAAGCACAACTTAGCAAAAAAAAAAAAAATCTCCTTCACTCTTTGTTCATAAGATTTCCAGATACAAATTGGCTATTCTGTTGCAAATAAAAGGATGCAAAGCTGCTGAGGTAGGCACTTTAAACATTCAAGTCGCTGTGTTAGTAATTCCACTATAGGATATAGAATTCTATCACTGTTTTGTCTTTCTATAACACAAAAGTAAACTAG